TCCTGGCTCTCCATGTTTCGGGACCCCCATGTGGCTCCAGGTTTTCCCAGTCAATCTCCCTGTGGTTGAAATCCCCCATAACCAGCAACTTTGCTCTGCTGGAGTGAGCTCTTCTTGCCACCTCAGCAAGTGTGTCCACCATTGCTCTGTTGCTCTCTTCATATTCCTCTCTTGGCCTCCTGCAGTTCTGTGGTGGATTATACATCACTGCAATGACCACTTTGTGTTCCCCAGCCTGAAGTGTACCTGCTATGTAGTCTCTTTCTCCAGCAAATAATAGAGCCTACTAGACTGGAGAATACACTAGACCTCATCTTCACTAACAATGATGATCTGATAAGAAATGTCACCATATCAAAAACAATATACTCAGATCACAACATAATTGAGGTTCAGACATGTATGCGTGGAGCCCCAGACAGACATAATGAGATTAGTCACGAGGGAGCATTCACCAAATTCAACTTCAATAACAAAAACATAAAGTGGGACCAAGTAAACCAAGTCCTAACCGATATAAGCTGGGAAGATATACTAAGCAACACAGACCCCAACTTATGCCTAGAACAGATTAACTTGGTGGTACTCGATGTATGCACAAGGCTTATTCCTCTAAGAAAAAGGAGGAGTAGATGTAAAATAGAAAGAGACAGGCGCTCCCTTTACAGGCGACGGAAAAGAATAACAGAGCGGCTAAAAGAGGTCAATATAACTGAAATGCGTAGGGAGACACTGGTCAGAGAAATAGCAAGCATCGAACTTAAGCTAAAGGAATCTTATAGGAGTCAGGAATCGCGGGAAGAACTAAAAGCCATAAATGAAATCGAAAGAAACCCAAAGTATTTCTTCTCCTATGCCAAATCAAAGTCGAGAACAACGTCTAGTATTGGGCCCCTACTTAAACAAGATGGGTCCTACACAGATGACAGCAAGGAAATGAGTGAGCTACTCAAGTCCCAATATGACTCAGTTTTTAGCAAGCCGCTAACCAGACTGAGAGTCAAAGATCAAAATGAATTTTTTATGAGAGAGCCATAGAATTTGGTTAACAAGCCTATCCAATGTTATCCTGACGCCAAATGACTTCAAACAGGCGATAAATGACATGCCCATGCACTCTGCCCCAGACTCATGGAACTCCGTGTTCATCAAGAACTGCAAGAAGCCCCTATCATGAGCCTTTTCCATCCTATGGAGAGGGAGCATGGACACGGGGGTCGTCCCACAGTTACTAAAAACAACAGACATAGCCCAACTCCACAAAGGGGGCAGTAAAGCAACAGCAAAGAACTACAGACCGATAGCACTAACATCCCATATCATAAAAATCTTTGAAAGGGTCCTAAGAAGCAAGATCACCACCCATCTAGAAACCCATCAGTTACACAACCCAGGGCAACATGGGTTTCGAAAAGGTCGCTCCTGTCTGTCTCAACTATTGGATCACTATGACAAGGTCCTAGATGCACTAGAAGACAAAAAGAATGCAGATGTAATATATACAGACTTTGCAAAAGCCTTCGACAAGTGTGACCATGGCGTAATAGCGCACAAAATGTGTGCTAAAGGAATAACAGGAAAAGTCGGTCGATGGATCTATAATTTCCTCACTAACAGAACACAGAGAGTAGTCATCAACAGAGTAAAGTCCGAGGCAGCTACAGTGAAAAGCTCTGTTCCACAAGGCACAGTACTCGCTCCCATCTTGTTCCTCATCCTCATATCCGACATAGACAAGGATGTCAGCCACAGCACCGTGTCTTCCTTTGCAGATGACACCCGAATCTGCATGACAGTGTCCTCCATTGCAGACACTGCAAGGCTCCAGGCGGACATCAACCAAATCTTTCAGTGGGCTGCAGAAAACAATAAGAAGTTCAACGATGAGAAATTTCAATTACTCAGATATGGTAAACACGAGGAAATTAAATCTTCATCAGAGTACAAAACAAATTCTGGCCACAAAATAGAGTGAAACACCAACGTCAAAGACCTGGGAGTGATCATGTCGGAGGATCTCACCTTCAAGGACCATAACATTGTATCAATCGCATCTGCTAGAAAAATGACAGGATGGATAATGAGAACCTTCAAAACTAGGGAGGCCAAGCCCATGATGACACTCTTCAGGTCACTTGTTCTATCTAGGCTGGAATATTGCTGCACACTAACAGCACCTTTCAAGGCAGGTGAAATTGCTGACCTAGAAAATGTACAGAGAACCTTCACGGCACGCATAACGGAGATAAAACACCTCAATTACTGGGAGCGCTTGAGGTTCCTAAACCTGTATTCGCTGGAACGCAGGCGGGAGATACATGATTATATACACCTGGAAAATCCTAGAGGGACTAGTACCGAACTTGCACACGAAAATCGCTCACTACGAAAGCAAAAGACTTGGCAGACGATGCAACATCCCCCCAATGAAAAGCAGGGGTGTCACTAGCACATTAAGAGACCATACAATAAGTGTCATGGGCCCAAGACTGTTCAACTGCCTCCCAGCATACATAAGGGGGATTACCAACAGACCCCTGGCAGTCTTCAAGCTGGCACTGGACAAGCACCTAAAGTCGGTTCCTGACCAGCCGGGCTGTGGCTCGTACGTTGGTTTGCGTGCAGCCAGCAGTAACAGCCTGGTTGATCAGGCTCTGATCCACCAGGAGGCCTGGTCACAGACCGGGCCACGGGAGCGTTGACCCCCGGAACTCTCTCCAGGTAAACGTCTCATCTATGCCTTCCATTTTCTCGAATTTCCATCTGTTTTTTATGAGCAGAGCAACCCCACTTCCCCCCCTTCCCCTTCTATCTTTCCTCATGATCTGGTATCCTGGTGGGAAGATTGCATCTGTGTGTGTGTGTGTGTGTATGTAAAGCTAATACAGAGAATTCAAAGGGATGAGGATCAGTTAGCAGTACAAAGGGATCTGGACAGGCTGCAAGACTGGCTCAACAACTGGCTTCTGGAGTTTAACCTCACCAAATGCAAAGTCATGAAGATTGGGGAGGGTCAAAGAAGATCACAGACAGGGGTCCAAAGCCTGCAAACCTCACTCGAGGAAAAGGATCTTAGGGTGAGCATAATACCAAGCACATCTCCTGAGGTGCACATCAACCAAATAACTGCTGCAGCATATGGGTGCCTGACAAAGCTAAGAATAGCATTTTGACACCTGAGTAAGGAGTCATTCAAGACACTGTACACTGTATGCAGCACCAGTATGGAACCCACACCCTGGTCAGGCACGTCAAGAAATTAGAGAAAGTGCAAATGTTTGCAACCATACTAGTCCCAGAACTAAGGAGTATGTCCTATGAGTAATTACGCAAAATCAACCTAACAACACTGGAGAACAGGAGGGACAGGGAGGACATGATAACAACATATAAAATATTGAGAGGAATTTACAAGGTGGATAGGGACAGGATGTTTCGGAGATGAGACACAACAAGGGGTCACAACTGTAAGTTGAAAATTCTGATAAATCACAGGGATGTTAAGAAGTGTTTCTTCAGTCATGGAGTTGTCAGGAAGTTGAAGGAAATTTTTAAGTTGGGTTGTTTGATGTAGTTTATGAAAGTTATAAGTGTAAAGAAGCAGGATGTCCTAGAACTAAATGGAACAGTTACAATGGGTGAGAGAATGATGAAAAGTAAATTGGATTATGTCAGGAGCATCTGAGAGAATTATTATTATATGCATGGGGAAGTGGCCAACCAATCAGGGTCATATAGTACCTAGGGCATGGGAGATGATCAGGTTTGACCCAAGGAAGAGGAGGGCAGCCCTAATTCCATGCATCATGAGCCCTTCACCAGCACTAAGGCAACCTATCTTGTAGAACATCTGAGAAAGGAAGCTACAGAAGAGGTAGCAGTAATTTTATTATTAAAATAATCATGGGGAAATGCTAAACCTGTAGGGGTCATATAGTGTTTGGGTAATCTGAGGCAATCACATTTAATCCATGGAAGGGAAGAACAGCTGTGATGGCAATGTTAAATGGACAATTGTATGAAGAAAATAAGAGGAATAAATATTCCAATTCAAGAATTATACAGAAAAGTGGGTTATAGCAAATGTTTATACATCTGGAGGCGAGAGCAGTAACAAGGAGAACATAACAATGGCTGAGTGCAACACACGGTAGTAAAGAGCATGCCAGATGATGACTAAGTGTGACACAGGCTGATGATGTAACAGAGGATGAATTGAGTGTGACACAGAGATTGAGGACATAACAGATGATGACTTGAGTGTGACAGAGGATGACTGTGACATACATCAGTCGAGAGCATAACAGAAAGCCACACAACAGCACCACCAGAAGACAGGTGGGAAGAGTCTTCAGAGGTATAACAGTCCTTTGATACATGTCAGATTTTTTAATGGAGAACGAGGACACAGAACAGGAAAAAAAAAAAAAAGAGCTCTGGAGAGGACAAGTAGAAGAAAGCAAAGATTGAGAAAAAAGAATTGTGCTAATAAAGTAAGTACCTGAAAGTGTGGAAGTACATTTATCATTAAACATTTTCTTGGCTGTTGCTTATCTAGAGCAAAACAAATTGTGTCCACATTTCAAAGTTAACCTATGGAGAGCTTTCCCCAGCATATTTGAGGTGGATGAAAAAACCAAAGGCAAGGATGCCTGTGCAGTTTCCCAACCAGTTACCAGACTGACCGACTAATGAAGTCATGATGACAGCTTAGACAGTCATGCTCATGGTTTTAAATCTTGGCTAAAATGCTTGATATACCACGAGCTCCGCTACTGAACTTAAACTGTGTAATCCCAATAGTACATAAGATGCTTCAGTGTCATCCTAAGAAAGCTGTTATGTGAGATGCCAGGGGCATTATTTTATAATTATACAAGAAGGATGACAAATAATAAAACAAAGGACTTTCATGTTGATAAGGTGTTGACAGGCAGAGAGATCAGTGTTAAATGTAAAAGTAACACATGTAATCTAAAATTGGTTTTAATAAAGCTAAGTGGTGTCAATAATTTTACTTCATTTTTTACATCTAACATATTTTAAAAAATGGCTCATTATAAACATCTAGCCCACACAAACACATATGCTCCAACATTCTAGAAATGGCTGGCTTATAATTTAATTTAAATTTGTACAGTATGGCTAAATAAATATAAAAATTTCTTACACCAAGAGAATATATTATAATCAGGTCATATAAATTACAGCAATTGAATGGTATTATATGTACATTCCAGTCATCCAATAAGAATTTTTTTAACTTCCTAGATATAATCAATTACTTTATAATAGTTTGTATGTGTAACACTGACACAAATACTGCCATACACTGTATGTCAACAAATAGCACTTAAGTAATCCGATGATCAGATAATTAATTAAGAAGTATTAAAAAAAGGCTGTACGTACTGGAAATCTATTTTAGCTCTAACTGTCAAATCCTAAAAGAAAACTGACATAAATGTACTTTTTTAATCTTCACATTACCCATATCATGAAGTTATCTGGAGAAAATTACATGTGAAAAATTATGAAAATTACTGGAATAAAAATCTAAGAATAATGACCTTGAAACAAACCTAGATACATCATCTACTTAACTAAACAATGTAATATAAACTTCTATGGTGGCACTATAGAAGCTTGGAAGGTTGATCTTGCAAAAAGTTGATTATTTCAGGGACGGTCAACTGAGGTTTTATTTTGGGAAAACATGCCTCTACTCTGTGTTCAAGGGGAGGAGACAAAAATGTGTCGTTTTCCTGCAAATTACTGAGAGCTCTGGCATAATCATATTTACTGAATATGTATGCCTTTTTGTACCTGTACTTAAATAAAATTACATTTATTTAGAGCTTTGCTATAGAGGTTATTAACCCTCTGAGGGTCCGTGCCGTAGATCTATGGCTTTACGTTGAGGGTCCAAACCGTAGATCTACATCATGAGCTCAGCTCACTCTGATAAGCTGTGAGCGGTAAATTTTGGCCTAGATATGAGAGAATACATCTATATGGTATGTGTGCACCACCTAAAGCAAATCCTGCAGCACACAGTGGATAATGAGAGAAAAAAAACCGAGATCCTAATTTTAGATTAAAACAGCGACTTTGCAGTGTTTTTTCATATGTTTTTTATAGTTGTATTTGCGATTTCTTGGTCTCATTTGATAGAATGGAAGATATATTACAGAAATAGAGATGAGTTTGATTGGTTTTAGTACTGGAAATGGCTTGAAACTGAGCTCAAAGTAGCGGAAATGTTAAATTTTTGCCGATGCTCAAGAGTAAACAAATGACCTCACGTCTAATACATGCCTGCTGGTAAATCTTCTATTTTTTGGTTTGAATAAAAATTCATTGTGAATAAAAAATAAAAATGGAATTCATTAGTAAAGCCTGAAAACGTAACTAATGAACAGAGGAAATGTTAGTTTAGTGCCAGTAATGCCTGCATTGTTTATTATGGACCCTATTTTGAAAATGGAGTATTTTGAACTTTGCATTAAATTGGTCAAATTACCAATTTCCAAGCACTTTATTTTGTAGTTGAAACAGTTGACTTGGCGAATTCTTGTACTCAATCGATAGAATAAAAGTAATATACTAGTGAAATATCTAAGAATTTGGTTGACTGGAATAATGTAATTGGCCTAAAATGGGAGTCAAAGTTGGCAAAATCGCCGATGCGTAAATATCACTGACACATCAAAACTCACGAGAGCATAATTTAATCAATTTTCCATCAAATTTAATACTTTTTGTTTTATTACCTTCAGAAAAAGATTCTCTACCATTTCATAAGAAAAAATAGCAAAATTATTTTTTGAAAATTCTTGGACACTAGTGCACACTTTGAAATTTGGCCTCTGGACCCTGAAAGGGTTAACCAGACAAACTTTCCTGATGACAAGACAGTTTGTCTGTGATCAGTTTGCTTCCCTTAGCTTACAGATAAAACAATCAAGAATTCCTAATTTTAAATTATGCCAGAAGTGATGTCGTTCTGTAAAATACTGTATATGAGAATTTAGGCCAGACTTGAATAACTTGATCCTTCATCATTAGACAATAAATTAATGTAGTTGCCAAATTCTCAACCACCTGCACCTCCTTTATTATGATACCTGACACCCACTCATAGAGGGATCCCATTTTTTCCAATCTCTAAACCAAAAACTGGGACACTTAGTAAATATTTAGTTGGGAGGTATATGACTCCTAAAATAAGCAGAATAATTTTTATTACAACAATGAGATCTTTCTTCTTCTTTCAACAAACCGGCTGTATCCCACCGAGGCAGGGTGGCCCAAAAAGAAAAACGAAAGTTTCTCTTTTTAAATTTAGTAATTTATACAGGAGAAGGGGTTACTAGCCCCTTGCTCCTGGCATTTCAGTCGCCTCTTACAATACGCATGGCTTACGGAGGAAGAATTCTGTTCCACTTCCCCATGGAGATAAGAGGAAATAAACAAGAATAAGAACTAGAAAGAAAATAGAAGAAAACCCAGAGGGGTGTGTATATATATATGCTTGTACATGTATGTGTAGTGTGACCTAAGTGTAAGTAGAAGTAGCAAGACGTACCTGAAATCTTGCATGTTCATGAGACAGAAAAAAGGACACCAGCAATCCTACCATCATGTAAAACAATTACAAGCTTTCGTTTTACACTCACTTGACAGGACGGTAGTACCTCCCTGGGCGGTTACTGTCTACCAACCTACTACCTAGGAACAATGAGATCACTCTGATAATAAAATTTTACATGCTGGGACACCAAGACAGAGCTCTGAAAACCCACAGAATTTAGAACTAACCTGATAAAACCAGGATAAATGGGATTTCTGCCCTCACAGTATATATTTCACTGTGCTGCACACCTCACAAAATACTATGTTACATACCAACCTGTAGCTTAATTTACTATCATGCCAAAACCTCTTACATGATAGTGCTATCTTTCTACATGTTCTCATTTACTTCACTTTAATATTATAAGGTTTTTATTCTAGGATAACCCAATACAGCTCTATAGTAGGATTTATTTCTAAATCTGTGGAAAAAGACACTTATGTATAGTTCAGGTCATTTATTAAAGGAAATGTTTTGCCACTCATGTTAAAACAGTTCCTTTAATAAATGTCTTTTTCCACATCCTGTCAGTATCACCATATCATTTACTTTCTACTTCCATAGGGTTTCCTCTGATGTGAATAACTAAAACAGCCAACTTACACCTTGGTGAACATGGACTGTGGGTGTGAGGTGACTTGCTCATACACCTAGCCTTGTCCAAGAATCAAACCTATGTTAATTCAGTAGTAAGTCAAAGATTACTATTAAGCTACAAATCAATACCATTTATCACAAATCTTCATAACATATTAACCTAGAGGCAGGATTTTCAATTCTGGAACTCTGGTGCGATAAAAATGGCAAATTTTTGGTCTACGACAGCAGAGTTACCACTGGCCCTGCAACACTATTCACCAATTAAGTTTTATGCATTTTTCCATTCTCTTCCTTATGCCTGATCTTGAACTTCTGGAGTAGGAATAATTGAGTAATTCTTCCCATTTAAATAGGAAGAGCCTCACTTCTTCATAATCACATACTTTTACCAAAAGGCAAACACATTTCATTTTTTCAACAAATCTGATCATGAAAGGCTAGACTAAGTTGCTGTCTTTGCTACAATGGCCAGTAATTTAGTGTTTCCTTTCTAAAATGGCTTGCTATGTTCAATTTTACAATAAAATTGACAGCCAGGAATGCTTCTTGAGCATTTTACTAGCTGCAGCACTTATAGTCTTTATTGCTGATAGGATGATGCCCAAACATGTTATTTTGTCACCCCTATTACTGTCTGTCTTCTCTCTACAAGAGTTTCATTAGACAATCCACTTTCAACTTTTCCTCCAGACTTTAAGCAAACCATATTTCTTTTCTTATGAATTCTTAAATACTTATTTTCTGCTGTGTATTAGAAGGCTGTATATAAAATTAGTTAATTATGCAATCATTCATAGCTATCTGGCTGTCTTGATGCAAAAATCTTAAGAAAATAATTTAAAAAATGGTTAATATAAGCTAATTCACCATGCATTAGCCATAGATATATTTTGCATAATTTTTTTGAGACAATAAAATTCTCAAACATATAACTTTTGTCACTCTAATTTACATACAGCTAAATTTGTAATTTTATTAAAAAAAAAAAAAAAGTCACGTGTTACTAAGTAAATTACAAAAGAATTTTATGTTGCTCTGCACTTCCATATAAACTGTCTAAATAATCCATATGTAAACTCTTCAGAGATCACAATCTGTCATTAAATCCTATTATTACAAAAATAAGTACAGAATTATAGAATTCAAAAGCCTACTGTAAAAAATTGGTTCATATTAATGTCAGAAGCGTTCCTCTGTTTCTGAAAACTTTAACTGAAATTCTAAAACTAATCTGAAACTTGCCCAATTTATATTCATACTGTACTTTACAAACACCATTCATAAATTTTGTTTGGTAAAATATACAACCATAATAAAAACATATTTTTAAACCTACAGCAAAACATTTTGAATGATGATTCATCCTTCATGAGCCCTGAAAAGAGATTAGTATCATTAGAGCAAAACAGAGAAAATGGTCAAATTATCTTGATCAAATTACATTATTTTTTAAATGTTTAGAATATGTGACAGCTGTTCCTGCATGACATGAGGTATAGTCACCACATGTTTAATACCAATTGTCATCATATGACAAAGAAATTAAAGTATCATTTGAAAAAGATGCACATTCTCAGGTGCAGGATTAAATATGCAAGGAACAATCATTGTTTTCAAGCACTAAGAAGAAAAGATTGTATAAAGGAAGAACATTACAGCAAGAAAATAATGATAGGTATTGGGAAAAATTATAAACCAAACACAACAAGAAAAACTGGGGAGTAAATGGACTTGGCAGTTAAAAATGAAAGAGGTGAGATATCAGATAGGGAGATTGAGGGAATATTTTTAGGAGCTTTTAAATTTTGATGAAGAAAGAGACAGAATACTTTCTTGCATCCTGCTTTGCTTCATCAGAGGATGAAGAAAAGCACGATGATTAGGAAGGCATATAAATCTGCCCACAAGGGTCCTCTTACTATTGAGCAAGGTGCTGTGTGCCCATCTTATTTAGCCCTTCTGCCTCCAGATATCAAGGAACCCTGGGGAGCCTATTTGTGGTACGACAAGCTAATTGTTGATTGGGTTAATGGGCCAACACCAACTGCTGTATAAGACAGAATATTGGGCCACATGGTGTATATGAAAAACTGCTACTAAGAAATACTCAGGTAAATCTAGCATAAATTATAAAAAGCGAATGAGAATTTATACTTACAACAGGCCTGAATTTTGTATTAATCTTAGTACCAAATCTTTGAACACTTGACATTTTTACTGCAAAGACCAAGAAGTAGTGCTGCCTTCAACTTATATATATCATTGTAACCTTTTTTTTTTTTTTCAACGAGTCGGCCGTCTCCCACCAAGGCAGGATGACCAAAAAACAAAGAAAATCCCCAAGAAGGAAATACTTTCATCATCATTCAACACTTTTACCTCACTCATACATAATCACTGTTTTTGCAGAGGCGCCCAGATACAACAGTTTAGAAGCATATATAAAGATATATAACATATCCCTCCAAACTGCCAATATTCCAAACCCCTCTTTTAAAGTGCAGGCATTTATTTTATTATCACACTGGCCGATTCCCACCAAGGCAGGGTGGCCCGAAAAAGAAAAACTTTCACCATCATTCACTCCATCACTGTCTTGCCAGAAGGGTGCTTTACACTACAGTTTTTAAACTGCAACATCAACACCCCTCCTTCAGAGTGCAGGCACTGTACTTCCCATCTCCAGGACTCAAGTCCGGCCTGCCGGTTTCCCTGAACCCCTTCATAAATGTTACTTTGCTCACACTCCAACAGCACGTCAAGTATTAAAAACCATTCGTCTCCATTCACTCCTATCAAACACGCTCACGCACGCCTGCTGGAAGTCCAAGCCCCTCGCACACAAAACCTTTACCCCCTCCCTCCAACCTTTCCTAGGCCGACCCCTACCCCGTCTTCCTTCCACTACAGACTGATACACTCTTGAAGTCACCCTGTTTCGCTCCATTCTCTCTACATGTCCGAACCACCTCAACAACCCTTCCTCAGCCCTCTGGACAAGTTTTGGTAATCCCACACCTCCTCCTAACTTCCAAACTACGAATTCTCTGCATTATATTCACACCACACATTGCCCTCAGACATGACATCTCCACTGCCTCCAGCCTTCTCCTCGCTGCAACATTCATCACCCATGCTTCACACCCATATAAGAGTGTTGGTAAAACTATACTCTCATACATTCCCCTCTTTGCCTCCACGGACAAAGTTCTTTGTCTCCACAGACTCTTAAGTGCACCACTCACCCTTTTCCCCTCATCAATTCTATGATTCACCTCATCCTTCATAGACCCATCCGATGACACGTCCACTCCCAAATATCTGAATACATTCACCTCCTCCATACTCTCTCCCTCCAATCTGATATCCAATCTTTCATCACCTAATATTTTTGTTATCCTCATAACCTTACTCTTTCCTGTATTCACTTTTAATTTTCTTCTTTTGCACACCCTACCAAATTCATCCACCAATCTCTGCAACTTCTCTTTAGAATCTCCCAAGAGCACAGTGTCATCAGCAAAGAGCAACTGTGACAACTCCCACTTTATGTGTGATTCCTTATCTTTTAACTCCACGCCTCTTGTCAAGACCCTCGCATTTACTTCTCTTACAACCCCATCTATAAATATACAGTGGACCCCCACATAACGATTACCTCCGAATGCGACCAATTATGTAAGTGTATTTATGTAAGTGCGTTTGTACGTGTATGTTTGGGGGTCTGAAATGGACTAATCTACTTCACAACATTTCTTATGGGAACAAATTCGGTCAGTACTGGCACCTGAACATACTTCTGGAGTGAAAAAATATCGTTAACCGGGGGTCCACTGTATTAAACAACCACGGTGACATCACACATCCCTGTCTAAGGCCTACTTTTACTGGGAAATAATTTCCCTCTTTCCTATGTACTCTAACTTGAGCCTCACTATCCTCGTAAAAACTCTTCACTCCTTTCAGTAACCTACCTCCTACACCATACACCTGCAACATCTGCCACATTGCCCCCCTATCCACTCTGTCATACGCCTTTTACAAATCCATAAATGCCACAAAGACCTCTTTAGTCTTATCTAAATACTGTTCACTTATATGTTTCACTGTAAACACCTGGTCCACACACCCCCTACCTTTCCTAAAGCCTCCTTGTTCATCTGCTATCCTATTCTCAGTCTTACTTTTAATTCTTTCAATAATAACTCTACCATACACTTTACCAGGTATACTCAACAGACTTATCCCCCTATAATTTTTGCACTCTCTTTTGTCCCCTTTGCCTTTATACAAAGGAACTATGCATGCTCTCTGCCAATCCCATTGTACTTCCCATTTCCAGTACTCAGGTCCGGCTAAATAAAAATAACCAGTTTCCCTGAATTTTTTTTTTTTTTATCACACCGGCCGATTCCCACCAAGGCAGGGTGGCCCGAAAAAGAAAAACTTTCACCATCATTCAATCCATCACTGTCTTGCCAGAAGGGTGCTTTACACTACAGTTTTTAAACTGCAACATTAACACCCCTCCTTCAGAGTGCAGGCACTGTACTTCCCATCTCCAGGACTCAAGTCCGGCCTGCTGGTTTCCCTGAACCCCTTCATAAATGTTACTTTGCTCACACTCCAACAGCACGTCAAGTATTAAAAACCATTTGTCTCCATTCACTCCTATCAAACACGCTCACGCATGCCTGCTGGAAGTCCAAGCTCCTCGCACACAAAACCTCCTTTACCCCCTCCCTCCAACCTTTCCTAGGCCGACCCCTACCCCGCCTTCCTTTCACTACAGACTGATACACTCTTGAAGTCACCCTGTTTCGCTCCATTCTCTTTACATGTCCGAACCACCTCAACAACCCTTCCTCAGCCCTCTGGACAAGTTTTGGTAATCCCACACCTCCTCCTAACTTCCAAACTACGAATTCTCTGCATTATAGTCACACCACACATTGCCCTCAGACATGACATCTCCACTGCCTCCAGCCTTCTCCTCGCTGCAACATTCATCACCCATGCTTCACACCCATATAAGAGCATTGGTAAAACTATACTCTCATACATTCCCCTCTTTGCCTCCAAGGACAAAGTTCTTTGTCTCAATAGACTCCTAAGTGCACCACTCACCCTTTTCCCCTCATCAATTCTATGATTCACCTCATCTTTCATAGACCCATCCGCTGACACGTCTACTCCCAAATATGTGAATACATTCACCTCCTCCATACTCTCTCCCTCCAATCTGATATCCAATCTTTCATCACCTAATCTTTTTGTTATCCTCATAACCTTACTCTTTCCTGTATTCACTTTTAATTTTCTTCTTTTGCACACCCTACCAAATTCATCCACCAATCTCTGCAACTTCTCTTCAGAATCTCCCAAGAGCAGTGTCATCAGCAAAGAGCAACTGTGACAACTCCCACTTTATGTGTGATTCTTTATCTTTTAACTCCACGCCTCTTGCCAAGACCCTCGCATTTACTTCTCTTACAACCCCATCTATAAATATGTTAAACAACCATGGTGACATCACACATCCTTGTCTAAGGCCTACTTTTACTGGGAAATAATTTCCCTCTTTCCTACATACTCTAACTTGAGCCTCACTATCCTCGTAAAAACTCTTCACTCCTTTCAGTAACCTACCTCCTACACCATACACCTGCAACATCTGCCACATTGCCCCCCTATCCACCCTGTCATACGCCTTTTCCAAATCCATAAATGCCACAAAGACCTCTTTAGCCTTATCTAAATACTGTTCACTTATATGTTTCACTGTAAACACCTGGTCCACACACCCCCTACCTTTCCTAAAGCCTCCTTGTTCATCTGCTATCCTATTCTCCGTCTTACTCTTAATTCTTTCAATAATAACTCTACCATACACTTTACCAAGTATACTCAACAGACTTATCCCCCTATAATTTTTGCACTCTCTTTTGTCCCCTTTGCCTTTATACAAAGGAACTATGCATGCTCTCTGCCAATCCCTAGGTACCTTACCCTCTTCCATACATTTATTAAATAATTGCACCAACCACTCCAAAACTATATCCCCACATGCTTTTAACATTTCTATCTTTATCCCATCAATCCCGGCTACCTTACCCCCTTTCATTTTACCTACTGCCTTACGAACTTCCCCCACACTCACAATTGGCTCTTCCTCACTCCTACAAGATGTTATTCCTCCTTGCCCTATACACGAAATCACAGCTTCCCTATCTTCATCAACATTTAACAATTCCTCAAAATATTCCCTCCATCTTCCCAATCCCTCTAACTCTCCATTTAATAACTCTCCTCTCCTATTTTTAACTGACAAATCCATTTGTTCTCTAGGCTTCCTTAACTTGTTAATATCACTCCAAAACTTTTTCTTATTTTCAACAAAATTTGTTGATAACATCTCACCCACTCTCTCATTTGCTCTCTTTTTACATTGCTTCACCACTCTCTTAACCTCTCTCTTTTTCTCCATATACTCTTCCCTCCTTGCATCACTTCTACTTTGTAAAAACTTCTCATATGCTAACTTTTTCTCCCTTACTACTCTTTTTACATCATCATTCCACCAATCGCTCCTCTTCCCTCCCACACCCACTTTCCTGTAACCACAAACTTCTGCTGAACACTCTAACACTACATTTTTAAACCTACCCCATACCTCTTCGACCCCATTGCCTATGCTCTCATTAGCCCATCTATCCTCCAATAGCTGTTTATATCTTACCCTAACTGCCTCCTCTTTTAGTTTATAAACCTTCACCTCTCTCTTCCCTGATGCTTCTATTCTCCTTGTATCCCATCTACCTTTTACTCTCAGTGTAGCTACAACTAGAAAGTGATCTGATATATCTGTGGCCCCTCTATAAATATGTACATCCTGAAGTCTACTCAACAGTCTTTTATCTACCAATACATAATCCAACAAACTACTGTCATTTTGCCCTACATCATATCTTGTATACTTATTTATCCTCTTTTTCTTAAAATATGTATTACCTATAACTAAACCTCTTTCTATATAAAGTTCAATCAAAGGGCTCCCATTATCATTTACACCTGGCACCCTCTCTAAAAGTTTCTCCTACTTTAGCATTCAGGTCCCCTACCACAATTACTCTCTCACTTGGTTCAAAGGCTCCTATACATTCAATTAACATCTCCCAAAATCTCTCTCTCTCCTCTACATTCCTCTCTTCTCCAGGTGCATACACGCTTATCATGACCCACTTTTCGCATCCAACCTTTACTTTAATCCACATAATTCTTGAATTTACACATTCATATTCTCTTTTCTCCTTCCATAACTGATCCTTCAACATTACTGAATCCCTTCACTAAATATTACCCTGCTCACACTCCAACAGTTCGTGAGGTTTGTAAAGAGTTTTTATGAGGATAGAGGCTCAGGTTAGGGTGAGTAGAAGAAAGGGAGATTACTTCCTTGTAAAAGTAGGTCTTCGACAGTGATGTGTAATGTCACCATGGTTGTTTAATATATTTATAGATGGGGTTGTAAAAGAATAAATGCTAGGATGTTGGGGAGAAGGGTGGGATTAAATTATGGGGAATCAAATACAGTGGAACCTCAAAAATCGAACTGCTCCCAACACAACCAATTATGTAAGTGTATTTTTGTAAGTGCTTTTATAAGTGTATTTTTGAGGGTCTGAAATGGACTAACCTAATTTACATTATTCCTCATGGGAATAAATTCATTCGGTAAAGGCACTCGAACAGCCTTCTGGACCAAAGAAAGTTCGATATTTGAGGTTCCACTGTACAATATGGGAGTTGACACAGTAACTTTTTGCTGATGATACTGTGCTTTTGGGAGATTCTAAAGAAAAGTTGAAAAGGTTAGTGGATGAGTTTGGGAGGGTGTGCAAAGAAAGTTAAAAGTGAACATAGATAAGAGTAAGGTGATGAGCCTATCCAATGAGACAGGTAAAGAAAAATTGGATATCACATTGGAGACAGGGAGTATGGAAGAAGTGAATGTTTTCAGGTATTTTGGAGTTGACATGTCAGTGGATGGGTTTATGAAGGATGAGGTTAACCATAGAATTGATGAAGGAAAAAAGGTGAGTGGTGCATTGAGGTATATGTGCAGACAAAAAATGTTATCTATGGAGGCAAAGAAGGGAATGTATGAAAGTAGAGTGGTACCAACACTATTATATGGGTGTGAAGCTTGGGTTGTAAATGCTGCAGCAAAGAGGCTGTTGGAAGCAAGGAGATGTCCTGTCTAAGGGCAATGTGTGGTGTAGATATTATGCAGAGAATTCAAAGTGCGGAAATTAGAAGGTGTTTCACAATCAAATTATTTATTTAGCAAAAGTGAAGCACAATATGATTAGATGTTTGAGAATCAAAGTAACAAAACAACTCTGCCTTCTAGTCTTCCAGCAAACACAACAAAAGATTTACAATTTCCAGTACATTTATGTTAATATAATGTACCTCGGTATACCACTTTATTCTGCCCAGCTATAACTATTTACTATTTTATATCAATTTTCCATTCAATAAAATAAATGATGTAAATCCTAGTTATAAACTTCACATGGAGTTAATAAAAGTATATTAGTCAGAGGGCTGAAGAGGGGTTGTTGAGGTGGTTTGGTCATTGAGAGAGAATGGATCAAAGAAGAATGACATGGAAGGTGGGGTAGGGGTCATCCTCGAAAAGGCTGAAGGGAGGGAGTAAGGTTTTGTGGCCGAGGGGCTTGGACTTCCAACAAGCATGTGTGAGCATGTTAGATAGGAGTGAAAGGAGATGAATGATTTATGGGACCTGACGAGCTGTTGGAGTGTGAGCAGGGTAATGTTTTGTGAAGGGATTCAGGGAAACCGGTTATTTTTATATAGCCGGATCTGAGTACTGGAAATGGGAAGTACAATGCCTGTACTTTAAAGGAGGGGCTTGGAATATTGGCAGTTTGGAGGGATATGTTATATATCTTTATATATGCTTCTAAACTGTTGTATCTGGGTGCCTCTGCAAAAACAGTGATTATGTATGAGTGAGGTGAAAGTGTTGAATGGTGATGAAGTTTTTTCTTTTTTGGGATTTTCTTTCTTTTTGGGTCACCCTGCCTCGGTGGGAGACGGCCGACTTGTTGAAAAAAAAAATGCAATGCACTGTATAATTATAGTCTTCATACTATACCTGTCAAACATGGCCTTCAGGATGGTGTATGAACCTTGGTAACGCTGGTCATTAATTTTAGCAGAATTTCTCCACAGGTTACGAATTTGTCGCCACCTCTTGAGGTGTTCAGTTAATAGAAGACCTGTTGGCGTATTTTCACACTCCTGATGGAAAAACACTATTCTAACAATAATACATTTTGAGAATTTATTTTATTTATAGATATCTGAATATTTCTGGCACTTCCTCCAAAACAAGAAACTTTAAAGTAGCTGAATTTTGTCCTCCTTGAATTGCCAAAATAAAAAAGTAAATTTAGTTTTATTAAATCCCTATCTCCAAAAGAAGTAGAAATCACAGTATGATAAAATTTTATTATTATTACTTTTCTTATTATAAAAATATAGGTAGGTACCACCTTTGGAACTGGACTGGGGACCCTCATCCTCAGAGAAAAGAATAAACTTACTCCAGGGAAAACTCAAGATTCTCCCAAGAGCTGTTTGAAAACTTTCTTCTACCACCCCCTATATTTTATCATTATTATTTAAATTATTTCATATCATTATATTGCATTCACAGTCTAACATTTATGTTAGAGACCATTCAGCTAGGTTTCTGGTATATACATAAAAATACCTTAATAACTAGATATTAAATGTCTTCTCTGAACATAAACATTATGCAGCTTTTCTGTTATTCTTTAGTTTAAATTCTGCTAATTTACTTCCGAGTATTATTTTCAGTGTAAGCAAATATAAGAAAGTGACATTTTAAATATTTCATGATACTACAGCAGAGTGATCATGAAAATGGTATGAATTTTATCCATAGTAAGTTTGATTATTATTATTATATTCAAGAGGAAATGCTAAACCCATATGGAAGTTATATAGCACCTGGGAAATGAGATGAGATCAGGTTTAATCCAAGATATGGGAGGCTTGCTCATACTCCTTGCATCGGCAGTCCTTCACCAGCATCAAGGCACCCCTTGGAAGTTATACCAAGGTGGCTATGTTAGATTTTGAATTTAGTTTGTTAGTTTCTGTAGTGACTCATCATGAAAACCCAACTGGTATACATATAACTTTCTGAAGAAGGCTAGATAACCTATCTGGTCTCGCTACCTTGCAATAATCACCTTAGGCCTTTCATGGCTGAAAATCTAATATTGATGCATCTCAAAGCTACTATACCTGATCTGTTTCACAATCAAATTATTTATTTAGCAAAAGTGAAGCACAATATGATTAGATGTTTGAGAATCAAAGTAACAAAACAACTCTGCCTTCTAGTCTTCCAGCAAACACAACAAAAGATTTACAATTTTCAGTACATTTATGTTAATATAATGTACCTCGGTATACCACTTTATTCTGCCCAGCTATAACTATTTACTATTTTATATCAATTTTCCATTTAATAAAATAAATGATGTAAATCCTAGTTATAAACTTCACATGCATTAAAGTATCAAAATTTCCTTACATTTATGACATTGAGTCTATTGGGAGGGTGTGGAAGTGTATCAGGAATCCTTGGGTCTCGTTGCAGCATGTTGATCGGTCTGGGTTCTGGAGGAGGCATCTTGTTACTGAGGGCAGCATTGGGGGGACCATCAGACAAGATTTCACTGACAAAGTCTCCTCCATCATGGGTGGCATCAGTGCTGTTAAACATTTCCGTGCTGGGGCTGCTGGGTTCTTGTCTGCGTATAATTTATAATTGTACATTACACCAGAACCATCCGGAAATACGTATGTATTTATACTCAGAACATAATAATTATTACAGGGGTGTTAATGTTGCAGTTTAAAAACTGTAGTGTAAAGCACCCTTCTGGCAAGACAGTGATGAAGTGAATGATGGTGAAAGTTTTTCTTTTTCGGGCCACCCTGCCTTGGTGGGAATCGGCCAGTGTGATAATAAAATAATAAACATTATAATTATCATTGTTATTATACTCATAGAAAAGTGCTATACCCATAGGTTATACAGTGCCTGTGGAATGGGAGGTAATCAGGTTTTATCTAAGGAAGAGGATGATAGCTCCAATTCCTTTGATCAAGAGTCCTTCACTTGCATCATGGCACCCCTTTAAAGGGTGAAACATACAGTACATCCATAAAAAGCATACTGCAATACTTTTATGTAAAATCTATATAAGTTTGATTGTCTCCTTGTTGTAATCCAGTTTCTTCTCTTTGTGTTTGGTCTCTTTCACTCTAACCCGTTTTATATCCTGATAACTGTTTCTCTTTTAAAATATTAAACAAAATAATTAACTTTCATTTATAGTGAACACTTAGTAAAGTGTGCAGCTGTCATCTTCATTAATTCAAGTAAAATAAAGTTCTGCAAGTCTTGTTTAAGAAATATGATTCATGAGTGGAGCAGCTATCTGCGAATGATGAAGCCAAAGACCCAATTGTCTGAGTTTACAAGTGTATACTTACAAAGACTTATATGCCAACCACAGGTGCTGCCTAACCTCCTTAAAATGACTTAGGGGCAAGCATCTCAAAATAGTTCTAAATATTGAATGGAATTTGTATGCTACAAACAATACTGTATAATACTGACAAGTTGATACAGCAACACCATGAAAACTTGTTACAGAGAATATCTTCTAGAAATCCACTGGTATATTCATGGCCTACCTTGTGAGCCTGACCTACTTTCACTAGTAAGCCCCACCCACATGTGACCACATCTTCAACTGCTACACACTGTCATGAACATATGTGTAAACAAGCCACCACATGGGCACAAACATGAATCAGCTTGGTAATATTCTGGCACTTCATTCCTTACTTTAGGCGATAAAATACTGAAACAAGCATTTTCATTTAAATTATTTGGTTATGACAGGCCCTTAATGCTATCATATATCACTTTACCCAATACCCACATTAAATAAAAGTGAAAAGCTATTTGTAGAAATAGTAGGGTGCCTATCATGACCAATGGACTAAGTGGAAAATACTTATTTCTTGACTTATGTGCTCTCATGGTGTAGAGGTAAAACAAGGAAAAGCCATAAACATTATATTCATGCTCACATGATGCATTGATACACGACAAATGTTGACACTTGATGTATGTTTCTTCTCTGTTCGTTCTTTCACCTTTGTGTTACAAAGTATCCTTGCTATATCTGTAGATCATACCATTCAACCTAATTTCCTTCAATCCCATTTACAGTTCACCCACTTACTTTACATTGAGACTGGAGTTATGTGGCTGGTTAATCATCCAGGCACGACATATTGGATACAAGGGAGATGTTTCATCAAATTGGGCAAGGTCTACACTGCGGTCGAACATGCGCATAACAAATGTGTGGTGGAAGCCAGAATCTCTCAAATCTATCTCTTTCCGTCGACGTTTGCGAGGAGGACGAGAGCCTCGAGTACTTGCTAAACCAATTTTTGTGCTGCAAGAAAAAAAATTTTATTACTAAAATGACCAATAACAAAACACTAACAGAATGTATAGTGCACAGCGAGATGCCTGAAAAATACTAATATTGCCCAACTTACAAAAACATTCAAAAGCATCATATTCAAACTTTGGCTGACACTAATGAACAGTAAATACACTTCACCCCCTTTCAGAGTGCTGGCACTGCACTTCCCACCTCCAGTAATCCAGTTAACCTGTTTTTCCTTGAATCCCTTCATAAATATTACTTTGCTCTAACACTCCAACTTCATGACAGATCATAAAAAAACCACATGCTCACACGAGCCTGCTAGATGCTCAAGCCCCTAGCATTTGAAACCTCCTTTACCTCCTACCTCCAACTTTTACTGGGATGACCCCTACCCCTTCTTCCTTCCATCACCACTTTATAAACTCTCTTGCTTAATCTATTCTGCTCTCTCTTCCCAAAGTGCCCAAACCACCTCAACAACCACTCCTCGTGTCTCTCAATCATACCTTTGGTAACTTCATGCTGTCTTCGAATCTCTACTCTTCAAACTCCCTACATAAAATTCACACCAAGCATTACTTAACAATATGACTCTCTACTGTCTCTAGCCTTCTCTTTGTTGCAATGCTTGAAGCTCTCACTCCCATTTAACAATACATTACAAGACAATGATATGTAAATTCCATAACTTCTGAGAAGTGAATAAAGTGGCTTCAAGAAAAAATATTGAGTTTTTCTCCTTGAGGCTATTAGAATATTCTATTTCTCTTACCACCACCCTATCTTATGCACATATGCATAAACATATATTATGTAAGACACATACAGAAAATTAACAAATAATTTTATTTTTCCACTACAGTAACAATAATGGTTACATAAATAACTACATTACATAAATAGCAGGACTTTACTTATCAATATATTCTCTGGTATTTTCTTACTTTAAATGGTGTTTTTTTTTTTTTTTTCAACAAGTCGGCCATCTCCCACCGAGGCAGGGTGACCCAAAAAAGAAAGAAAATCCCCAAAAAGAAAATACTTTCATCATCATTCAACACTTTCACCACACTCACACATTATCACTGTTTTTGCAGAGGTGCTCAGAATACAACAGTTTAGAAGCATATACGTATAAAGATACACAACATATCCCTCCAAACTGCCAATATCCCAAACCCCTCCTTTAAAGTGCAGGCATTGTACTTCTCATTTCCAGGACTCAAGTCCGACTATATGAAAATAACAGGTTTCCCTGAATCCCTTCACTAAATATTACCCTGCTCACACTCCAACAGATCGTCAAGTCCCAAGTACCATTCGTCTCCATTCACCCCTATCAAACACGCTCACACACGCTTGCTGGAAGTCCAAGCCCCTCACCCACAAAACCTCCTTTACCCCCTCTCTCCAACTCTTTCGAGGACGACCCCTACCCCGCCTTCCTTCCCCTATAAGATTTATATGCTTTCCATGTCATTCTGCTTTGATCCATTCTCTCTAAATGACCAAACCACCTCAACAACCCCTCTTCTGCCCTCTGACTAATACTTTTATTAACTCCACACCTTTTCCTAATTTCCACACTCCGAATTTTCTGCATAATATTTACACCACACATTGCCCTTAGACAGGACATCTCCACTGCCTCCAACCGTCTCCTCGCTGCTGCATTTACCACCCAAGCTTCACACCCACATAAGAGTGTTGGTACTACTATACTTTCATACATTCCCTTCTTTGCCTCCATAGATAACGTTTTTTGACTCCACATATACCTCAACACACCACTCACCTCATCCTTCATAAATCCATCCGCCGACACGTCAACTCCCAAGTATCTGAAAACATTCACTTCTTCCATACTCCTCCTCCCCAATTTGATATCCAATTTTTCTTTATCTAAATCATTTGATACCCTCATCACCTTACTCTTTTCTATGTTTACTTTCAACTTTCTACCTTTACACACATTCCCAAACTCATCCACTAACCTTTGCAATTTTTCTTTAGAATCTCCCATAAGCACAGTATCATCAGCAAAAACTAACTGTGTCAATTCCCATTCTGAATTTGATTCCCCATAATTTAATCCAACCCCTCTCCCGAACACCCTAGCATTTACTTCTTTTACAACCCCATCTATAAATATATTAAACAACCATGGTGACATTACACATCCCTGTCTAAGACCTACTTTTACTGGGAAGTAGTCTCCCTCTCTTCTACACACCCTAACCTGAGCCTCACTATCCTCATAAAAACTCTTTACAGCATTTAGTAACTTACCACCTATTCCATATACATATATGTACTTGCAACATCTGCCACATTGCTCCTCTATCCACTCTATCATATGCCTTTTCTAAATCCATAAATGCAATAAAAACTTTCCTACCTTTATCTAAATACTGTTCACATATATGCTTCAATGTAAACACTTGATCTACACATCCCCTACCCGCTCTGAAACCTCCTTGCTCATCCGCAATCCTACATTCTGTCTTACCTCTAATTCATTCAATTATAACCCTACCGTACACTTTTCCTGGTATACTCAGTAAACTTATTCCTCTATAATTTTTACAATCTCTTTTGTCCCCTTTCCCTTTATATAAAGGGACTATACATGCTCTCCGCCAATCCCTAAGTACCTTCCCCTCTTTCATACATTTATTAAACAAAAGTACCAACAACTCCAACACTATATCCCCCCCTGCTTTTAACATTTCTGTCATGATCCCATCAGTTCCAGCTGCCTTACCCCCTTTCATTCTACGTAATGCCTCACGTACCTCCCCCACACTTACATTCTGCTCTTCTTCACTCCTAAAAGATAGTACATCCCTGACCAGTGCATGAAATTACCGCCTTCCTTTCTTCCTTAACATTTAAAAGTTCCTCAAAATATTCTCGCCATCTACCTAATACCTCCATCTCCCCATCTACTAACTCCCCTACTCTGTTTTTAACTGACAAATCCATACTTTCCCTAGGCTTTCTTAACTTATTTAACTCACCCCAAAATTTTTTCTTATTTTCATTAAAATTTTTTGACAGTGCCTCTCCCACTCTAGTGTTGTTCATTTGAAAATACTTTGGGAAAACTCACAATACTTTTGACTTGCTTTCACTGTCAGATTCATTTTCAGAATCAGATTCCTCATCCTTCTGAAGTAGGCCTTGAAGAGCTGCATCAAATCTACCGCGTGCTGCATCGACCTCACCACCTGCAATAACAGCAAAACTCTTCATGAAGGCAGGCAAGGAGAACTTGTAATTCAGTCATTATGGTATGAGAAGAAGTATTAAAAAAATGGCATAAAGTTATTTTAGCATTATGATGGACTTGAATATTTGCCTCGCTGATCTATTAACAGCAAAAACAATAAAAAAATGTTCTTTAAAATTTAAAAAAGTGAAAGAAATATTATCAGTCATTAGGATACTCTCCTCCATACTATCTGAATACCTGCATATACCTGCCATTATAATTGATTTTCATTAATTTCTCTAAATAAAGGAAATTAATGCACAATACTGCTGTTACATACTTATACATGAAGTAAGTTGTAGCAAATATTTACATTAAACCATTACGGATAAAATTTCAAACATTTATATTATAGTCATGTTACCAAAATATAAAAAATATATGTATGTACTCAACTATGTGTGGTTGCAGGGTGGAGTCACAGCTCCAGTGTGTGTGTGTGTGTGTGTGTGTGTGTGTGTGTGTGTGTGTGTGTGTGTGTGTGTGTGTGTGTGTGTGTGTGTGTGTGTGTGTGTACTCACCTAGTTGTACTCACCTAGTTGAGGTTGCAGGGGTCGAGTCCACGCTCCTGGCCCCGCCTCTTCACTGGTCGCTACTAGGTCACTCTCCCTGAACCATGAGCTTTATCGTACCTCTGCTTAAAGCTATGTATGGATCCTGACTCCACTACATCGCTTCCCAAACTATTCCACTTCCTGACTACTCTGTGGCTGAAGAAATACTTCCTAACATCAGTGTGTGTGTGTGTGTGTGTGTGTGTGTGTGTGTGTGTGTGTGTGTGTGTGTGTGTGTGTGTGTGTGTGTGTGTGTGTGTGTGTGTGTCATGGTGTGTCTGTGTGTGTGTTCATGTGGTGTGTCAGGTGTTTTTTCCCAGTGTGGTGTGTGTCAGTGGTTGTCAGTGGTTGTCAGTGTGTTGTGTCATGTGGTGTGTCATGTGTGTGTGTCAGTGTGTGTGTGTCAGTGTGAAAGTGTGTGTAATGTGTGTGTGTGTAATGTGTGGGGTTCAGGTGTGTTGTAGTGTGTGTGTTCATTTGTGTGTCAGTGGTGTGTGTCAGTGGTGTGTGTCAGTGTGAAAGGTTGTGGTGTGGTGTGTGGGGTAAGGTGTGTGTGTCATGTGTGTGGCATGTGGTGTGTCTGTTTGTGCAGTGGGGTGTGTGTCAGGGTGGTTCAGTGTGTGTGTCATGTATTGTCAGTGTGTGGTGTGTTGTGTGTGTGTGTGTGTTTGTGTGTGGTGTGTGTTTGTGTTGTTTTGGGTGTGTGTGTGTGTGTGGGTGTGTTTGTGTTTTTTGGTTGTGGTGTGTGTGCATGTTGCAGTGCTGTGTGTGCAGGCTGTGTTCAGTGGGGGTGTTGTGTGTGTGTGTGTGTCAGGTGTGTGTGTTGTCATGTGTGTGTGGTGTCAGGGGTGGGGGTTTGTTCGTGGGGGGTTCTGTGTTGTTTTGGTGTGTGTCAGTGTGTGTCTGTGGGGGTTGGTCGTGTGTGTGTGTGTCTCACCTACCACCTAGTTGAGGTTGGGGGGGTCGAGTCCGAGCTCCCCCCGCCCTTCACTGATCGCTACTAGGTCACTCTCCCTGAGCCTGAGCTTTTCAACCTCTGCTTAAAGCTATGTATGGATCCTCCTCCACTACATCGCTTCCCCAAAAAATTCCCCTTCGACTACTCTTGGGTTTAAGAAAACTTTCCCAACATCCCTGTGATTTACTGTGTCTTTAGCTTCCAACTGTGTCCCCCCCTTTTTACTGTGTCCAATCTCTGGAACATCCTGTCTTTGTCCCCTTTTCAATTCCTCTCATATTTTTGTTTTGTCGTTTTCATTCCCCCCTATCTCTCCCCCGTCCTCCAGTGTCGTCAGGTTGATTTCCCTTAACCTCTCCTCGTAGGACATACCTCTTAGCTCTGGGACTAGTCTTGTTGCAAACCTTTGCACTTTCTCTAGTTTCTTCACGTGCTTGGCTAGGTGTGGGGTTCCAAACTGGTGCGCATACTCCAATATGGGCCTAACGTAACACGGTGTACAGGGTCCTGAATGATTCCTTATTAAGATGTCGGAATGCTGTTCTGAGGTTTGCTAGGCGCCCATATGCTGAAGCAGTTATTTGGTTGATGTGCGCTTCAGGAGATGTGCCTGGTGTTATACTCACCCCCAAAATCTTTTTCCTTGAGTGAGGTTTGTAGTCTCTGACCCCCTAGACTGTACTCCGTCTGCGGCCTTCTGTGTGTGTGTGTGTGTGTGTGTGTGTGTGTGTGTGTGTGTGTGTGTGTGTGTGTGTGTGTGTGTGTGTGTGTGTGTGTGTGTGTGTGTTCAGTGTGTGTGTCAGTGTGTGTGTCAGTGTGTGTCAGTGTGTGTGTCAGTGTGTGTGTGTCAGTGTGTGTGTGTGTGTGTGTGTCAGTGTGTGTGTGTGTGTGTGTGTCAGTGTGTGTGTCAGTGGTGTGTGTGTCAGTGTGTGTGTGTGTCAGTGTGTGTTTGTCAGTGTGTGTGTGTGTCAGTGTGTGTGTGTGTCTGTGTGTGTGTCAGTGTGTGTGTGTGTGTGTGTGTGTCAGTGTGTGTGTGTGTGTGTGTGTGTGTGTGTGTGTGTGTGTGTGTGTGTGTGTGTGTGTGTGTGTGTGTGTGTGTGTGTGTGTGTGTGTCAGTGTGTGTGTGTGTGTGTGTCAGTGTTGTGTTTGTGTGTGTCAGTGTGTGTGTGTGTCATTTTGTGTGTGTCATGTATGTATTTTCATTGGTGGTGTGGTGTGTGTGTGTGTGGTGTGTGTGTGTGTGTTTTGTGTGTGTGTGTGTGTGTGTGTGTGTGTGTGGGGTCAGTGTGTGGTGTGTGTGTGTGTGTGTGTGTCAGTGTGTGTGTGTGTTGTGTTGTCATGTGTGTGTGTGTGTCATGTGTGTATCAGTTGTGTGTGTCTGTGTGTGGGGTGTGTGTTTTGTGCCCAGTGTGTGTCCATGTGTGTGTGTGTGTCAGTGTGTGTGTCAGTGTGTATGTCAGCTTTGTGTGTGTGTCCGCATGTGTGTGTGTGTAAAGGTGTGTGTCAGTGTTTGGTGTCAGTGTGTGTGTGTCAGTGTGTGTGTTTCAGTGTGTGTGTGTGGTCAGTGGGGTGTGCCCAGTGTGTGTGTGTCAGTGTGTGTAAAGTGTGTTCAGTGTGTGTCATGTGTGTGTCAGTGTGTGTTCAGTGTGTGTCAGTGTGTGTCAGTGTGTGGTCAGTGTGTGTGTCAGTGTGTGTGTGCATGTGTGTGTGTGTCAGTGTGTGTGTGTCATGGTGTGTGTCAGTGTGTGTGTCAGTGTGTGTGTGTCAGTGTGTGTGTCAGTGTGCATGCCCAGGGGTGTGTTGTCAGTGTGTGTGTGTCAGTGTGTGTGTGTGTCAGTGTGTGTGGTGTGTCTGTGTGTGTGTGTGTCAGTGTGTCAGTGTGTGTGTCAGTGTGTCAGTGTGTGTGTGTGTGTGTGTGTGTGTTGTGTGTGTGTGTGTGTGTGTGTGTGTGTGTGGGGTGTGTGTGTGTGTGTGTGTGTGTGTGTGTGTGTGGGGTGTGTCAGTGTGTGTGTGTCAGTGTGTGTGTGTCAGTGTGTGTGTGTCAGTGTGTGTGTGTCAGTGTGTGTGTGTCAGTGCATGTGTGTCAGTGCATGTGTGTCAGTGCATGTGTGTCAGTGTGTGTGTGTCAATGTACTCACCTAATTGTGGTTGCAGGGGTCGAGACTCAGCTCCTGGCTCCACCTCTTCACTGATTGCTACTAGGTCCTCTCTCTCTCTCTGCTTCATGAGCTTTGTCATACCTCATTTTAAAGCTATGTATGGTTCCTGCCTCCACTACATCACTTGTTAGGCTATTCCACTTCCTGACGACTCTATGACTGAAGAAATACTTCCTAACATCCCTGTGACTCGTCTGAGTCTTCAGCTTCCAGTTGCGACCCCTTGTTTCTGTGTCCCCTCTTTGGAATAACCTGTCTCTGTCCACCTTATCTATTACACGCAGTATTTTTTATGTCGTTTTTCATGTTTTCCCCCTGACCCTCCTGTCCTCCAGTGTCGTCATTCCGATTTTTCCTCAACCTTTCTTCGTAGAACATACCCCTGAGCTCCGGAACTACCTTGTTGCCAACCTTTGCCTTTCTCTAATTTCTTGACGTGCTTGACCAGGTGTGGGTTCCAAACTGGTGTTGCATACTCCAGTATGGGCCTGATGTACACAGTGTACAGTGTCTTGAACGATTCCTTACTAAGGTATCGGAACGCTATTCTCAGGTTGCCAGGCGCCCATATGTTGCAGCAGTTATCTGGTTGATGTGTGCCTCCGGAGACATGCTTGGTGTTATGATCACCCCAAGATCTTTCTCCTTGAGTGAGGTTTGCAGTCTTTGGCCACCTAGCCAATACTCTGTCTGCGGTCTTCTTTGCTCTTCTCCAATCTTCATGACATTGCATTTGGCAGGGTTGAATTCAAGAAGCCAGTTGCTGGACCACATGTCCAGCCTGTCCAGGTCTCTTTGAAGTCCTGCCTGATCCTCATCTGATTTAATTCTCCTCATTAACTTCACATCATCTGCAAACAGGGACACCTCTGAGTCTATCCCTTCCATTATGTCATTCACATATACCAAAAATAGTACTGGTCCTAGGCCCGACCCCTGTGGGACCCAGCTGGTCACAGGTGTGTGTGTGTGTGTGTGTGTGTGTGTGTGTGTGTGTGTGTGTGTGTGTGTGTGTGTGTGTGTGTGTGTGTGTGTCTGTCTGTCTGTCTCACATGAACACATACACACACACATGTTTTAACAAATAACTTTTACCAATTTTTTTTTTTTTAAATTAAGTAACACTTTTCAACTTTGGTACTTATATCCATCTATTAAAAGTTCCATAAGAGTTATGCTTTTGATAATTAATAAATGTTCAATATATACAGGAGCTTTGCAGACACTGCAAAGCTCCAGGCAGACATCAACCAAATCTTTCAGTGGGCTGCAGAAAACAATATGAAGTTCAACGATGAGAAATTTCAATTACTCAGATATGGTAAACATGAGGAAATTAAATCGTCATCAGAGTACAAAACAAATTCTGGCCACAAAATAGAGCGAAACACCAACGTCAAAGACCTGGGAGTGATCATGTCGGAGGATCTCACCTTCAAGGACCATAACATTGTATCAATCGCATCTGCTAGAAAAATGACAGGATGGATAATGAGAACCTTCAAAACTAGGGAGGCCAAGCCCATGATGACACTCTTCAGGTCACTTGTTCTATCTAGGCTGGAATATTGCTGCACACTAACAGCACCTTTCAAGGCAGGTGAAATTGCCGACCTAGAAAATGTACAGAGAACTTTCACGGCACGCATAACGGAGATAAAACACCTCAATTATTGGGAGCGCTTGAGGTTCCTAAACCTGTATTCCCTGGAACGCAGGAGGGAGAGATACATGATTATATACACCTGGAAAATCCTAGAGGGACTAGTACCGAACTTGCACACGAAAATCACTCATTACGAAAGCAAAAGACTTGGCAGACGATGCACCATCCCCCCAATGAAAAGCAGGGGTGTCACTAGCACGTTAAGAGACCATACAATAAGTGTCAGGGGCCCGAGACTGTTCAACTGCCTCCCAGCACACATAAGGGGGATTACCAACAGACCCCTGGCAGTCTTCAAGCTGGCACTGGACAAGCACCTAAAGTCAGTTCCGGATCAGCCGGGCTGTAGCTCGTATGTTGGTTTGCGTGCAGCCAGCAGCAACAGCCTGGTTGATCAGGCTGTGATCCACCAGGAGGCCTGGTCTCAGACCGGGCCGCGGGGGCGTTGACCCCCGGAACTCTCTCCAGGTAAACTCCAGGTAAACAGGTATACATAAGTACAATTATCATACCTAGTAACATATATGTAAATTACCTAGGATAACACAAAAAAAGGTCAAAGTAACTTATTTCCATTGGGGTCCTTGTAATATTTTATTATATAGTAGTACATAGTAGATGCATTACATTTTGAAAGGTTTGACTAATCAGTCAAATCATGCAAAAATTCCTAAGTTTTTATTTAGGATTTAAAAACATATATGTAGTTTTTTATACAATGTTGAGAGCACAGTAATTATGGATGCACTTTTAATACACATGACATACATTTAACTAAGGATAATCCCACAAAGTCAAACGTTGTGACTTATTTTCATTACAACTTACTACTTTCATCCCTTTCTAATTTAATTCGGATGCCGGAAGATGTCATCCTGGAGGTGATCGTCTCCCTCCTCCTGTGTTATATAAATAACTAAGACAGATAATGGAGGGATGATCTAGACCACAAAATCCTCGACGTTGATGAAAACTTGAAACCAAAACTTCTGCAGACATGTGTTCGGATGTACACACACTTAATTAAGAATTTCAGTAGCTTTTCCTTCCATATTTATAATAGAAGCAAGAAGAAACTGCTTAAATTGACTTAGCTGAAACCGTAAAGATTATATATGAAACTTTAATACTGTTCAACAATGCAAAATATGTAGAAATTTATATTAAATGAGATAATCTGAACACGGTGTGTTTACAAAATTTAAGCAGCATTTGCTTAATATAATAAACAGAATATTACTTAGAAATCATATTTACTACTAATAATTCAATTTCACGGAAGCAACTTTCAAAATGAAGATACAGTATTCATTATCAAAGTTCTAAAATACAAAAAAAAAAATAACTCTCTAGGGGAAATATATACAAGATGAGGCGGGAAAGTTGATCGTTCGGAGATGAGTGATGGTGTCTCGTGTACTGTCCTCTTGTCACTTATTGTTTCTGTGTCACTTTTAGTTGACTACGGACTGCGATGGATAAGATCGGAGAGTGGCAGGTTGATAAGTATGCTCGCACCACCGCTCATGGCAGAGACTGGGAGACTGTGAAGAACTCTGCCACTAGACCACTGCTGCTCATCCTTACTAAGGTACAAGTACCTGTATTACTAGGGTGAGAAGTACGAGTACCTGTATTACTAGGGTGAGAAGTACAAGTACCTGTATTACTAGGGTGAGAAGTACGAGTACCTGTATTACTAGGGTGAGAAGTACAAGTACCTGTATTACTAGGGTGAGAAGTACGAGTACCTGTATTACTAGGGTGAGAAGTACGAGTACCTGTATTACTAGGGTGAGAAGTACAAGTACCTGTATTACTAGGGTGAGAAGTACGAGTACCTGTATTACTAGGGTGAGAAGTACAAGTACCTGTATTACTAGGGTGAGAAGTACGAGTACCTGTATTACTAGGGTGAGAAGTACAAGTACCTGTATTACTAGGGTGAGAAGTACGAGTACCTGTTTTACTAGGGTGAGAAGTACGAGTCCCTGTATTACTAGGGTGAAAGTACAAGACCTTATCTAGGGTGAGAATAGAGTACCTGTATTACTAGGGGAGAAGTACAAGTACCTTTTCAGGGTGAGAAGTACGAGCCCTGTATTCTAGGGAGAGTAAAAAGTACCTGTTTTACTAGGGTGAGAAGTACGAGACCTGTATTACTGGGGTAAGGGTACAAGTCCCTGATTACTAGGGGAAAGTAATATGTATTACTAGGGTGAGAAGTCAAATTTTTTTTTAATTTTTTTGGGGAAAAAAACCTTATTACTAGGGTGAAAAAGTAAAAGTACCGTATTACTAGGGTGAAAAGTATAAGTCCTGTTTTACTAGGGGAGAAGTCAAGTACCTTTTATAGGGTGAGAAGTACAATACCTGTATTCTAGGTGAGAAGTACAATCCCTGTTTACTAGGGGGGAAATAAAAAGTACCTTTTTTATAGGTGAGAAGTAAAAGCACCTAAATTACTAGGATGAAAGGACAAGCACCTGTTTCTGGGTGAGAATACAATAGTTTTCTAGGGTGAGAATACAAGTACCTGATTACTAGGGTGAGAAGTACAAGTCCTTTATTACTGGGTGAGAAGTACAACACCGTATTACGGGGTGAGAAGTCAAGTACCTGTATTACTAGGGGGGAAATACAAGTACCGTATTACGGGGGTGAAAGTACAAGTACCTTATTACTAGGGTGAGAAGTACAACACCTGCATTACTGGGGTGAGAAATAAACACCTGTATTACTAGGGGAGAAGTACAAGTCCTTTTTTTTATGGGGTGAGAAGAAAGTCCCCGTATTACAAGGGGGGAAAAGTACAAGTACCTGTTTTACTAGGGTGAGAAGTCAAGTACCTTATTCTGGGGAAAGTACAAGCCCCGCATTTTTGGGGTGGAAGTACAACACCTGTTTCTGGGTCGAGAAGTAAAGTCCCCTGCATTACTAGGTTGAAAAAGTACAAGTACCTGCATTACTAGGGTGAAAAGTACAAGCCCTGTATACTAGCGTGAAATTTTCAATACCTGTATTACAGGGGAAAAAGTACAAGTACCTGTATTCTGGGGGGGGGAAAGTACGCCCCGTTTTACGGGAAATGGAAGACAAGCATTGTTTACTGGGAGAAGTACAAGTACCTGTATTAAAGGGGCGGAAGCAACACCTGAATTATAGGTGAAGTACAAGCACTTGTTTTAAAAGGGTGAAAGTACAACCCCCTGTATTACTAGGTGAATAAAAGCCCTGTATTACTAGGGTGGAATACAATACTGCATTACTAGGGGGGAAGTACAAAAAACCTAATTACTGGGTGAGAATAAAATACCGTTTTACAAAGGGTGAAAGTAAAGTACCTGCAACTAGGGTGAGAAGTACAAGCCCTGTTTTACGGGTAAAGTACAAGCCCTGTAAAGGTGAAGTCAACCCCTGTATTACTAGGGGGGGAAATAAAGTACCGCATTACTAGGGTGAAAGTACAAGCACCTATATTCTGGGGTGAGAATACAAGTACCTGTTTTACTAGGTGGAAAAGACAAGTACCTGCTTACGGGGGAGAAGTAAAAGCCCCTTATTACAGTAAAGTACAACACCTGTATTACTAGGGTGAGAAGACAAGTCCCCTTATTACGGGGTGAGAAGCACAAGTACACGCATTCAGGGTGAGAAGCACAAGTCCCTGTTACTGGGGTGAAAAGCACAAGTCCCCTCATTATTAGGGTGAGGAGTACAAGTCCCCTGCATTACCATGGTGAGAGGTACAAGTTTTTTTCAAGGGTGGAAAAAGGGGATAATTCTTATTTTTTAATCGGGAAAAAGCGTTAAACCCAAACTTTTAAATTTAGGGGGGGGGGTGGAGTTTTTTCTTTTCCATCAAATAAGGGGCGGATAAATTTCCTTTGCTAAAGGGACCCCTCACCGGTATCAAAACCTCCCTCCCTGCCTATGGGGCAGGTTACGGGATATGCCGTCACTTCCCCAAACACGTACGTAAATCCAAATATTATATACCAAAAAATTTTATCATTTATTTGGGTATCTCCAAAGGGGGCCTTTAATTACCTGATTTTTTCTTCTAACTCTTCGTTCTAACTCGGTTCCCTTTTTTTTCACCGGATTCAAATTTTCAATGCTTAAAAGGGTAATGGGGGCCAAATTCAGGAACAAAGACGCTTTGCAGATGTCCTAGGGTCAAAATTTAACTCTTTTCCCTTGCATCCGGGAAGGGTTTCTGAAAACCCGAAAAGCCCTCAGTGGCATGCTTTCAACTTTAAAAAAACAAGGGCCCCAAATTTTCGACATGGTTAGAAATTTTATTCGGGTATACACAAATACAGTTGCATAGATTTACATACATAGGGCATTGTGTAAAGTACCCAAGAAACCCCAAAAAAGTCAGACAGTGATTATTTTTCCCTTGGGGGCTTTTAAGTGATAAGTGAAGATTTAACCATTTTTGTGTAAAACTGGTGAAAAACTTTTTTTTCCATTAATTACATTTAAAAAAATTTTAGTTTTCCTCTTTTCGGGGGTTTGGGATTTATAATATGAAACCCCGATTGTAATCTGTATAGAGAAAAAAACTTGAGATTTTTGATTTTTATAATGGTTGATGCTCTTAACGGCCGGATAGACCCATTAAAGTTTTTTTTTGTTCAGACAAATTTGTTTATATATATTTGAATAAAAATAATAATAAAATAATAATAATAATAAATAATATAATAATAATAATAATAATAAAAAGAAAAATTTGGATTTTAATTTTTGGGCCTTTTAGGTCCCAGTTTGTTTTTTTGGGAAAAAAATTTTAAAAAATGAAAAAAATTTCACGCAAAAAATTTAGTGCTGCCTGCATCTCGTTTTTCAACACTTCCATGCGATAGTTTTTTATAATGCAAATTTTGAGCGGCTTTGAGCTTTGTACTTGGTATTTTAGGATACCAAGGGGAGGAACTGGCCTTGGGTTTAATTAGATTTGGGGGTTATGTCCCCAATTTTCCTTTTTTTTTGGAGAAATTTGTATACAGTTTTCCATATGATGACATGTGAATGCCCTTTTTTATCCCTTCAGATATTCAATGCTAAAAATTTTTCTGCTTATAAACTCATACCCCCTCTGCACTATATCAATCACGTGTACTGCGGCACACAGGCTGGAGTTTTGGAAAATTGGGATTCCTTTTTCTGATTTGCACAGTGACCAACGTTTATCTAAATTTAAAAAGAGTAGCGGAAGCTCCTTTCCCCAGAAAAAATTCAATCAAACTAAACATTTGATTCGGTAAACTTCAGCTTGTAAATTTAAATGTATTTCTAAAAGGGGAAAACATGATGAATGATGTCACAGGGGGGCGTGTTGAAGGTGGAAAGGGTGGGAGGGTGCTGCCGAATCGGGACCCGATGAAAAACCCGGGGTGTGAAAGGGGACCGACGAGCACACTCTCTTTTTCATATGACAGCTAAGGTAGGTTTATTTTCAATGGTCATGACGATTCGTTTCAATGCTTTTTTTATGGGCCCCAGATGGCTTTTTATTACTCGGCTCATACTATACTGAGCAAGCGCAAGAAACAGGATTCGGGGGTTTCAAAAGGTCTTTGCAAACCATAATAACAAGTTACATCTTTTAAAATTTAGTCCCTGTCATATGTAAGATCTTTTTATTTAAAAAGGAAAGATTGTCATTTCCCGTAGGGCTTTGGGGGACTGTTTTTAAGGGTTTGGGTTAGTTTAATTTGTTTATTTTGCACCCCATACCCCTCCGTGGGGGTATCAAAAGATTTCAGAGGGACATAAATTGGTCAGGGACTGGACTCCAAATTTTGATGCTGAGCAAGTTTCAGAGGGAATGAACTCACAATTTAAAAGGGAATGGCTACAATTTACAAAATAAAGAACTCAAAAATTACAAAGGTAAGAAACTCCGTAATTGGTCAAATCATGACAAATTACAAAATATTTTCAGATTACAGAGGGGACGTAAGGGGCCAGGACGGGCCCCCAGGGTTTTTATAGCTGAACTAGTCAAATAATGAGCCACAAGTTACAGGTAATTGAATTCGTAAAAGGTTACTTACGTTTAACTTTGGGACAATCATGAAAAATTATAGAGTAATAGCAATTCAACCCTTTCCACACCCGCAAAACTGTTACCCGGGTTTTTCCCGGAAGATTTCGGGGGTCAACGCCCCCGCGGGCCCCGGGCGTGACCAGGGCCCCTGGGGACAGCGCCTGATCAACAGGGTGTTGCGCTGGGTCACGCAAACCAAAGTACAGCCACAGCCCCCTTTAAAGGGAAATGACTTAGGTGCTTTTTTCCAGTGCCCGCTTGAAGATGCCCGGGGTCTGCGGGGAATCCCCCTTATGTGGCGGGACGTGAAAAGTCCGGGCCCCCTACCTTATTTTAGGTTCTTAAAAGTGCTAGTGACACCCCTGCTTTTCATTGGGGGGATGGGGCATCGTCGCCAATCTTTTTCTTTTGTAGTGAGGATTTTTGTGTGCAAGTTTGGTACAGTCCTCTAGGTTTTCCAGGTGTATATAACTTATTCCCTCCTGCGTTCCGGGAAAACGGTTTAGAAACCTCAAACGCCCCAGTAATGAGGGGTTTTTTTCTCCGTTATGCGCGCCGGAAAGTTCTCTGTACATTTTTATCGGCAATTTCACCTGCTGAAAGGGGCTGTTGAGGCAGCAAAAAAAACCAGCCTAGATAGAACAATGACCGAAGAGTGCATCATGGGGGTTTGGGCCCCCTCGTTTTTAAGGGTTTTCATTATCCCCCCTGCATTTTTTTTAGCAGATCATTTATACAATTTATGGGTCCTTGAAGGGGAGATCCTCCCCAAAATCACTCCCAGGTCTTTGACGTTGGTGTTCGCTCTAAATTTTTTGGCCAGAATTTTTTTTGTACTCGATGAAGATTTAATTTCCCCATGTTTACCAAATTTTGAGTAATTGAGTTATTGGTGCAAATTTGATTGTTGAGTCACACACACAAAACACACACACACACACACACACCAAAACACACACACACACACACACACAACACACACACAAAACACACACACACACCACTTTATTTTTACTTTTGCCCCCAACCCCCCTGTGGGCGGTATCAAAAGATTACAAGGGACATGGTTTATCTTGGATACCTTTTAAATTAGGATATAACGTTTTTTTTGGGAAGGTTTACCATACACCTGTTCTTACCACCAGTTTTAAACTCGGTTCAGTCTTGTTCACGCAGAACAGGATTCTTTTACATATGCCCAAAATGCGAATCTAAAAAAATTGACAGAGACTAATTTTTTAAAACAAAAAAAAAGCGCTAAACCACAAGAGAAAAAGACTAATTAGTATGACAAATAGTCACGTTTTCTTTGTTGACTGTGCCGAAATAAATTTTACTTAATTTTTAAAAAACCTGTTTTTTTTAATGACGTAGTATCAGAAAGTTGCCACGTATGATTAGCCTCCCAAAAAGTTTTCATTACAGGCTAGCGCACACTGAAAAAATTTCATAAACAAATTTGACATAATAGATTTAAACCCAAAATTTTTTGGGGTTTTTGTGCCTGTTTTTTTTTTTTTTTTTTTTTCTTTCTTCAAACTTTGGGGTTCTTTTTTTTATTGCATTCACTAAATTAATGACCCAAAAAACAAAAAATGAAAAAAAAAATTATATGCTCTGCTCACAAATTTTAAATTTAAACTGATTTCAAAACCCCACATACATGAGGCACGATCAGTAAAAAGGGAAAGCAAGTGCAGCCCCTTTACTTTAATTCATTTGTATAAATTTTCATTAGCTAATTTATCAACAGAATTGTAGATTATTATAAAAATACACCAACCGATAAACTTACAGCTAGTTTGATCGTGTTGACCTAGTTATAGCCAATCCAACGTAACTATCTTTAGTATTTTTAATTTGGATATGATTACTGTTTTCGTGGGGTTTCCTAGTTATGGGGGAAGGTTTTTGGGGTCAAAAGCCCCGTGGCTTGGTCGAGACCAGGGCCCCATATGGATCAGGGTCAACAAAACCCCGGCTTTACGCGGGCGCACGCAAAAGACGTACAAAACCCCAGTCCGGTTGGTCAGGATGGCTTTTGGTACCTGCCAATGCCTTCTTTAAGGCAGTCAGGGGGCATTGGTAATCCCCCTTTTGCATGCGGGAGGGAGCTTGGCCCCCCACACTTATTGTTTGTCTTTTAGGTACTCGGGCGTCCTGCTTTTTTATTAATTAGATTAAAAAAAAAACGTGAGGAATACTTTCAGTCCAACACCTGTGACTTCAAGTGTAACACTTTAGTTTTTAAGCAGTTACAAATGTCTTTTAAATGGACTCATGAGAAAAACTGAATGACAGGGTGAATTAGAGATTTGTTTAAAAAACCATAAATGTGTCAAGGTAAGCAGCCCGAGGGGCTTGTAATTAAAAATTTTAGGGATGTCCTGACAAAGCGTTTATCATGTTTCGAGCTCAATGACTTTAAAGCCTTTAATTCCACCTTTCCAGGGGGGGGGGCGTAAATGGCGGTGATGTTCTCTGGTTTGGGAATCCCAGCAGCCGAGGAGAAATGCGTTCGCTGCTTGCAGGCCCTCCAAGCCTTCCTCATTAAACCGGACATCTCTCCTGCTCTCCTGCCTCAAACTTCCCTAAATTCTAACACTCTAGCAAACACGCCTTCGCTTCTTTACACTCACAATGACGGTCTCTCAGTTTCTCATAATCTCACCAAGACTGTCATACCGCCTCATAGCCTTCCCGAGGCTGCTAATTCGCTTTCAGGAACTCAGTCAGCTATTTGCGTTTCGACACCCGTAGAAGGCCACTTCGACTCTCTCCCAGACGCATCCCAATTTGTTGGAGATAAGACTGTTTCCTTGCCTCCAGCATGCCAGCCTCATACCTTCCCAACTCTGTCACCTTCAGGACTTCAGCCTATCCTCCCAGCTTCCTTACCTTCCCAGCTCCAGCCTCTGACTCTGGCACCCAATCACTTTTCGGTGCCTTCTGTCACAGCATCTATCCTGAGTGAATCTTCTGCTGGGCATCTTGATCATTTTGCTTCTTCCTTACCTTCCTCTCCAGTCATCTCTTCTCTCATCCCCGGTTCTTCCACGCTCTCCACAACTACACATACATTAACATCTTGCACAAGTATGAGCGAAGTGGTAGAAGCCAGTGACCTACATGCTGGAGGTAAGATGAAGCTGACCCAGCATGAGATACCGATCACCGAAGGCGATGATCGCGACATCCTAGAATGTGAACCCAACACCCAAGATCGTCGTGACTCCGATATTCAACAGTGTGACTCAGACACCCGAAACATTGTCTCCGATACCCAAGGTACTCTCCCCTACTTCTGTTGTCTTATTGTTTTGTGTCAATTATCCCTATTTGGCAGTTGTTGAAAATAAAATTTAGTACTACTGGGATCTGCCTAAAGTTGTGTTTAGTTTCAGACGGATGTGCTTGCAGCAAAAGTTAGAATCCTGACTACAAGAACAGTTAGTGTACGTACCCTATTTGTAATATAAAAAAAAAATATTTATTAGCTTAATCGCCTCATTGATTTTTATAGTCGCTGTTCTCATCGAGGGTGGTGCCTTGATGCCAATGGACTCATGATCCAAAGAATTGGAATTACCCTACCTTTGAATCAAATTGATTACTTCTCATTCCCTGTATGACCACTGTAGGCTTAGCTCTTCCCTATTAATACAATGTAATATAATTCCAGATTTAGAGGTAGCCGTAATTACCCTCCCAGACAGTGCAGGCCATTCACCAGCCCTAGTAAGCGGAGCTCACTCCACAGCAATTCAGAATGCAGAAGATGGCCCTGTCCTACAGAATACAGTTCATTCCTCCATCTCACAAAGTTCAAGTCATGCCTCTATCCCAGAGAGTATAATTTGCAGTCTTGTCGGGGTGAATGCAGACAACGCTTCTAAAGTGGCAAGTCTCGGGCCTTCGCCAACCCTGGAACAGCTGGTGAAGGCCGTACTGGAGGACCCCAGCCTGCCCGACCTGGTAGATGCTGTCCACAAAGTGATATCCAACATGTGATCCACACCCGGGATATACAGTTTATACACATCATTCACTCTGCATTGGTCTCATCACCGTCTCCCAAAACACAAAGAATAAAAAAAAAGTCATAATACCATGGCCAGAACAATTCACAAATGAACCACATTTAGGAGAGGAAACTTATCACAACTAAGTTGTAACTTGATAAGGTCCAGGAAGGACCGAAACTTCAAAGTTTCCTTTAAAGTACGTGTTATATGTGAACTTTGATACACAAAAGAATGCATTGGAAATTGTATATAACAACGGTCTCTGTTCTTAATTTGTATAATCCTGGTTGGTAGATAAGACACATAGGCAGCATTTAGGCAACTTTATTCCGAAACGTTTCGCCTACACAGTAGGCTTCTTCAGTCGAGTACAGAAAGTAGGCAGGAGCAGTAGAGATGTGAAGACGATGTAATCAGTCCATCACCCTTGAAGTCGTAGATTTGAGGTTGTCAGTCCCTCAGCCTGGAGAAGTTCTGTTCCAAAGTCTGGAACTAACTGAAGATCAAGCGACAGTGTTGAGACTTAAATACTGTGGGAAGGAGAGGTGCAGAGTAGTAGTAGTGAGAATGTAACCACTGGACATGACCTCCCAGTGGCTACATTCTCACTACTACTACTATGCAACTCTCCTTCCGACAGTATTTAAGTCTCAACACTGTCGCTTGATCTTCAGTTAGTTCCAGACTTTGGAACAGAACTTCTCCAGGCTGAGGGACTGACAACCTCAAATCTACGACTTCAAGGGTGTGTTAGGTAAGACACATATGCAACAGTTAGGTATCTTTATTTCGAAACGTTTCACCTACACAGTAGGCTTCTTTAGTCGAGTACAGAAAAGTTGATAGAAGCAGAAAAGACTTGAAGACGATGTAATCAGTGATTACATCGTCTTCAAGTCTTTTCTGCTTCTATCAACTTTTCTGTACTCGACTGAAGAAGCCTACTGTGTAGGTGAAACGTTTCGAAATAAAGATACCTAACTGTTGCATATGTGTCTTACCTAACAACCTGTCGGTATTTTATACCATTTTAATGTTCGACTTCAAGGGTGATGGACTGATTACATCGTCTTCACATCTTCAAAACGAGGGATGCCAAGCCCATGATGACACTCTTCAGGTCACTTGTTCTATCTAGGCTGGAATATTGCTGCACACAAACAGCACCTTTCAAGGCAGGTGAAATTGCTGACCTTGAAAATGTACAGAGAACCTTCACGGCGCGCATAACGGAGATAAAACACCTCAATTACTGGGAGCGCTTGAGGTTCCTGAACCTGTATTCCCTGGAACGCAGGCGGGAGAGATACATGATTATATACACCTGGAAAATCCTAGAGGGACTAGTACCGAACTTGCACACGAAATCACTCACTACGAAGCAAAAGACTTGGCAGACGATGCAACATCCCCCCAATGAAAAGCAGGGGTGTCACTAGCACGTTAAGAGACCATACAATAAGTGTCAGGGGCCCGAGACTGTTCAACTGCCTCCCAGCATACATAAGGGGGATTACCAACAGACCCCTGGCAGTCTTCAAGCTGGCACTGGACAAGCACCTAAAGTCGGTTCCTGATCAGCCGGGCTGTGGCTTGTACGTTGGTTTGCGTGCAGCCAGCAGTAACAGCCTGGTTGATCAGGCTCTGATCCACCAGGAGGCCTGGTCACAGACCGGGCCGCGGGGGCGTTGACCCCCGGAACTCTCCAGGTAATCTCTACTGCTCCTGCCTACTTTCTGTACTCGACTGAAGAAGCCTACTGTGTAGGCGAAACGTTTCGGAATAAAGTTGCCTAAATGTTGCCTATGTGTCTTATCTACCAACCTGTCGGTATTGCATACCATTTGATAATCACTTTGTATAATCCTATTTCTCATAATTTTTAGTTAAACATGAATCAAAATATTAACAAATTCTGATAGTAATATAATTTTCTTTGCAAAACACTAAACCCATATAGATCATTCAGCGCCTGATAATAAAGTCTGAACCAAGAAAGGAAAGCTCTAGTTCCTTGGAACAAGAGCCCTTCACCGTCCACTGAAGGGCAGTCGAACAATATAAATCGTATAGTATGTATCTTACAAACAATGATGATGAATTGTAAAATAAGTTTCAAATATATGGTTTGAGATATGCTAAAGATTTTTTACTATGTGCCTTGAAAGAAGTAGCAGTAGATACAGTAGACTGTAGTTATCCTCGATAGATAACCTCGTTGTAGATCGTAAGATCTTACGGTACCTGCTATTTTTCTTCAGTTCCTCAAGGAAGCTTCCCGACGTTGGTGAGAGGCTCTTGAGTCTAGGAAATGTACTTGACCTCTCTATTCTTGGATCGAACCCGATTGCCCCCTGTTCTCCTAGTATTGTATGACCCCTACTGGTTTAGCGCTTCCTAATAATATTAACTAGTCACCCTCAACATTGTATTTTCTGTAGATGAATGGTTCAGAGAACCGACATGTTGAATTAGACACGTGCAACTCTTGGGTATCTTTATTTAGGAAACGTTTCGCCACACAGTGGCTTCATCAGTCCATACAAAGGAGAAACTTGAAGAACAGGAGTAGAATGAGGTAATCAGTCCCTCAGCCTTGAGTCAATGTGGTCAGTCCATCAATCTTGAATAGAATACGGCACAAGTGCGGAGAAGGAGCTTATAAACCGTAGGCAGGAGAGGTGCAGCAGTCATAGGTGGTGTCACATTTGTTCAATGTGGAAGTAAGTCGTGCCCAAGGGTTAGGCAAGCGAAGAATTCCCAAGTATTAAGATCCCAAGAAGTTGCAGTGTCTGACAGGATTGTAATCAACGGTTCAGAGAACTGACACGTTGATAAGTTAGACACATATGAACTCTTGGGTATCTTTGTTGAGGAAACGTTTCGCCACAGTGGCTTCATCAGTCCATACAAAGGAGAATCTTGAATAACAGGAGGAGACTGAGGTAATCAGTCCCTCAGCCTTGAGTCGATGTGGTCAGTCCATCAATCTTGAATAGAATACGGCATAAGTGCGGAGAAGGAGCTTATAAACCGTAGGCAGGAGAGGTGCAGCAGTCATAGGTGGTGTCACATTTGTTCAATGTGGAAGTAAGTCGTGCCCAAGGGTTAGGCAAGCGAAGAATTCCCAAGTATTAAGATCCCAAGAAGTTGCAGTGTCTGACAGGAGGACCTGGAATCAAGAAGGATCCTGACAGATTGAACATTAAAATGGTATAAAATACCGACAGGTTGTTAGGTAAGACACATATGCAACAGTTAGGTATCTTTATTTTGAAACGTTTCGCCTACACAGTAGGCTTCTTCAGTCGAGTACAGAAAAGTTGATAGAAGCAGAAGATACTTGAAGACGATGTAATCAGTCCATCACCCTTAAAGTTTTGAGGTGGTCAGTCCCTCAGTCTGGAGAAGAGCATTGTTCCATAGAATGAAACAATATGGAGATGAAGTGTATGTATGTATGTATAATGTTCGCCAAGACCGTAGTCCTGGCACGGGTCTCAATCTTGCGATGACCCGTCTCTGGCTCCCGAGGGAGAAAGGTTTCTACAATGATACGACATATGCTGTTCAAGCACTCTTCTGGTCAGTTCAACTGGTGCATCTCATAAGCGACAACACCGTATGTACTCCTAACTATGGACACTAGCGAGGAGGAGGATATGTCGTTATCACAGGTAACAGCTTGTCTGGTTCGTTGACTCCATGGTACACTAGTGTGGCCGCAGTCATCTCTGGGTCCTCTTCGGGAGGGAATATCACTCCTAGTTGCCTGCGGAGCGTCTCAGTAACTTCGCCACTCAGAAGATAGTGTGTTAGGGGCCGCTGGACAACGTGCTGACAGTACTGGCACATCTCCTCCTCCAGCCTTGTCTACCATCATCTTGGCTGTGGGAAAGCCCAAACGAAGCCGATGGATGGCGGTACACTGCGCTCTGGACCAGCTTCTATCATATGGATGGGGTTCTCCCTGAGTCGCTGCTCGGTACCACTGTTGAGATGGGTATCACCTAAGACCTCCCCCATAGTTTCATGGCTCTGGCAGCCACCAGTTTGGTCTGTCGTAGGCTGATTGGGACAGTAATCCCAACATGTGGATAGTCTGTTGCTGCCTTTGCTGCATCATCTGCCGCCTCATTTCCCCGGATGCCAGCATGGCTGGGATCCAGTTCAATGTCGATCTGTTTACCTGAACTTCTAAGGCTGTCATTATGTCAGGATCGATGTGATGAGGTGAACATTGTCCTGTGTTGAGGATGGAGAGGGCATTGATTGAGACGTGGAATCAACATGTTATGCAGGTCGAGTCGATGTCGTAGGGCATGTGACAATGCTGCTGAATCGCCACCAACTCAGCTTGAAGGATCGTGCAAGTGGTCAGGGAGATCGCCAGCCTTGTGTGTGACCATTGTGGTACAGTCCAGCTGCTGCTCTCTTCCTGTCAGGGTCGACAGAACCTCTGTGAAATACACTGCACATGAGCCTCCCTCTGCCAGTGCCATGCTTGTCTCAGCATGATTGCTGAGAGTGTCTGACTGAGAAGACGCTTAGAGATGGGTAGCTGCATGATGCAAACATCGGCTGGATCTGGGCGCCAGGGAGGTGGTGGATGGTACCCAGCAACAGGAAGGTCACAACTCTTCTCAAGGAGTAGTTGTATAGGCAGCAGCTTCCGCCCAGCAGCACAAAACGAACGAATCCAGGAGTAGTCCGTGAAGAGTGTGGGATCTTGTGACATGGTTGCAATATCCGTCTCCTTAGTGGGGTACCTTGCTGCCTGTGCAGAATCGTGGCCACTTTGCAGGCGTTTATGTATCTTACTCTGTCAGCCAAGGAAGGAAGCCGGGCCTCAGATCTGAGACATACTGTGTTGGTCCAGATGGGGGCCCCCAAGCATAGTTCTTATCGCCTGATTTTGTACGACCTCCACTCTTTGCCTGCTCTGCGGGAAGAGATGAGCTAAAGCCGGTGCACCGTAGTCAATGAGCGAGCGTATAGCTTGTATATAGTACAAGCGAAGTACGTCTTTGCTTGCCCCTGCACGGTGCCTCGTCATGGCTCTCATGGCGTTGAGTCTGAGTAGAGCACGTGACCTGACATACTCGGCCTGTTTCTGAAAGGTCAGCTTTTTATCAATGTAGATTCCCAAGTACAGGTAGGAGCCTGTCCACTCAAGTTCTATATCCTGAATACGTAATCTATTCACAGGATCTGGTCCCTTGAACATCATTGCAAGAGATTTCTCGGCCGAGATCTTGAGGCCTAGTTCTTTGCAAGACTGCGTAATTAGGTCCAAAGCTCTCTGAGCCTGTCGTTCTAAATTGCCTTTCCCATTCACTACGAGTGCAAGATCATCAGCATAGCTGAGGAGCTGTGTACCACTATGAAAGGGAAGGCTCACAAGTTCCTGCATAAGGATGTTAAACAGGGTAGGACTGAGCACACCTCCTTGTGGCGTACCGTTTTCCAGGGTTTTAAAGGAAGAGTAGTGTCCCTGAAAGCTGACACAGGCCTGCCTGCCCCTAAGGTAGGACTCTATCCAGGCCAGGAGGCGTCCTTTGATTCC